GAGTGAGAGGCTGTAGCCAGAGAATTCCTCTGCCCAAGGCCCTTCGCGATGCAAGCTGGAGGCCCTTTGCCGTCGGCGCCTCCCCCTCCACCTCGCCCTCCCTCCCTTCCTCCTGCCCAGCGCCCCGTCGAGAAGATGCCCTCCCCTCCAAATCCCTCACCCTTTCCGACCACACTTTCACCTCGCTCGCTTCCTCCTCACAAAACGTCCATGCCTCCTCCACTGCCTCCTTCAACCCCTCCTCCTCTTCCTCCACCCCTCCCTCCCCCGCGTCCTCCCAGGCTTTCAAGGCAGCTTCCAGGTGCCCTCGCACTTCCTCCCTCCTTAAGCCACAGGCATGCTTCGCGCCATAATTCAACACCCCCACGCCGGCGAGTAACAAGCCCAGCGATGCATGAGCTCGGGCATATCGGACATTTATGCCCAAGGCCTCTCGGTAATAAGCAACGGCCCTGTCGGATTGTCCGAGGGCCTCGGCGCATTGGCCCATGGTGTGTAGGAGAGCGAGGTTCTGCGGTTCCTTGGCGAGCGCTCGCTCAAAAGCGCCCAGGGCGCGGGAAAACTGCCCAAAGGCCCTGTAAACCTGAGAAAGTGGGGTCGAAATGGGGGAGAAAGCGGGGGAAAGTCAGGGGAGGTGGACGGCCCATATCACGCACTGAGGGAGGCCCCGCCCACAGGACCGACCTGGCCCAGCATGTTGAAGTTCATCTGCTCCTCATTCATGGCCACGGCACGCTCCAGCTTCTCTGCCGCCTCCTCGTGTCTCCCCAGGCGGCCCAGCACCACCCCGTAGTCGAACCAGGCGGATTCGTAGGAGTCCGCCGGAGACGTCCGCACCGCCGCCGCGTACAATGCGGCCGCCTTGTGCAGCCTCTCTTCGCCCCCTGCTTGGTGAGCCTGGAGGGCTTCCAGCCTTGCCAAGCCCAAGAGCGCGTCTCCGTCCCCTGGGGAGAGCTCTAAGGCTTTTTCAAACGCCAGCAACGCTCGGGCCGTTTCTTTCTGGTACAAGTACAGCTTCCCAAGAGAGGTGTGAGCCGGCGCAAAAGACGGGTCCGACGACAAGGCCTGTGAATAGAGGCGCTCTGCCTCCTTAAAATTTCCTGTGAATGCATGGGCGCGGCCAAGCTGGATGAGGGCAGGGAGGAAGGCGGGGGAGAGGGCAAGGGCTTCGGAGAGGATGGTCTTCAATGAGGAGAAAGAGATGAAGGAATGAGTCAGAGCATGCCTTGTGCCTTTTGTCAGATCCATCTACGTTTGATTTGTGAGGTTTTGGCCCGTACAGCCTCCTCCTGCGCCTCCCGCTCCTTTCCCTCGCCCCATTTCCCCTGCCTCCCGCAGGATTACCTTGGCCTCGGTGAACATTCGTGAGTTCACCAATTCCTCTCCTTGTGCCACCATGCTGGAAATATCTTTCCCCTCCAGTACGTCTTCTTCGATGTTGGAAGCATAAACATGGATGAAGGCGACGAGAAGGAAGAAAATGGCGAATAAGAGGGCAGGAAGCTTAACAAGCCGGACTGTAGCTCCAGGCATGGTCTGGCTGTGCTGCGCCTGTGAGATTTATTGAGTGAAAGCAATACTTATATATACATATATATACAACTGTATATGCATGATACAACTGTTTTTCTTGAGAACGACGACTGGCAGGCAAAGCTTGGTGGTAGCTGCCTGTAATTCAATGTGACCACACACGAGAAGCAAGCAGGGGGGAGGTTAATCTTTTTATCCTTCCAAAGTACCGATGTCCACTCTCACTACGAACATGTCAGTATCTGCTCCCGAGGTTAAGAACAGCAGTGCCATGAGAAGAGAGAAATGATATGAGGATGTCCTTCGTCTTCAGATATGCCTCATATTGAAGCATATTGTGGCGGACCTCGGTAGCAGGCATCGACCTTGTGCATCGCCGACTTTCGTTTTCGCAGTCCTGAGTTCGATGAAGCGAATTCACGTCTCAACCGCACTTCAGCAACAAAAGAGAAACATTGGACGAGATCAGCCTTAACAGCTGCGATATTTGTAATACTTTCCTCGAAATGCGGTCTGAAGAGAGGGTGAGGCCACTGGTCACGTGCTCAGATGTTTGTACTTTTTGGATAAAGAAAGACAGAATGTTTGCCTCCAGAATACAACGGAGCCTTAATCTCCAACGAAGACAACTCTTTCATTTCCCTCCCATCTCCTCCTCCTCCGCCTTGCGCAGCTCCACCCTCAGCAACGTTTCCATTCTCCCCGGGTGCGCCCGTCCCCCTGTCTCCTTCATCGCCTGCCCGACAAAGAACTTCATCATCTGCTTCTCTTTTCCTTCCTTGTACTGCCGTCGCTGCCGTGCACTCCCGGGGTCCCTCACCACGTTCCTCGCCACCCCGATCAGCACAGTCTCGTCGCTCACCTGTCCCCACCCTCGCGCCGCCACAATCTCCCGCGGCCTCTGTCGCTTCTCCCCCCCCCTCCCTCCTCCCTCCTCGTCTTCACTCCCTCCTGCCACCATCAGGGCCAGCACTTCTTTTCCCGTCCGGATGGAGATCTCTCCACCAGACACCATGTCGATCAACTCGCCCATCGCCTCGGGATGGACGGCATAGCTGGCTGTGGGAGACGCCCCTGCCTGTCCCGTCAAGGCAGGAGAGGAGGTGTAGG